TATTATTATTATTATTGTTATTATTATTATTATTATTGTTATTATTATAATTAACGATAAAAGTTGCTAAGTTCACAAACACACATTTATTTCGTTTTAGAATATAACGAATCTTTCAAAGTAAATATTGATCGAAAGAACAGAACTCTAGCGAGAATATTCAAACGACAAAACCTGAAATTTGAAGTCAAGTACGAGAGGTATGCCTGAAGTATTTAAGTAATGGTAGTCTTAATTACCTTTTTTACAATACATTGTGACTCTACATTGATTGCATCCTACCATCATTATCATCATGATCATCACTATCATCATCTCATCATCATCATCATCTTCATTATCACATCAACATTATCATCATCTCATTCATCATCATGAACCAACATCATCATCATCATTATTATCATTATCATAATAATAATATTATTATTATAATTATAATTATTATGATTTTACCATTTATTTTTGTCGTTTTTCAGAGGTTTTCTAAAAGGAGACAAGGCAATTGGTCAAGCACAAATTAAGCTCGCTCCTTTCGATTCCAAATGCGAAATTCATGAATGCATAGATGTAAGTATTAGAACTTCCCAGACTAGTAACGGCTGGTTTGCTGACTCGTACCCAGTCGCTTCTCTTGTTTTATTGATCTCACGCTGTGGTTGATGGGAAAGATTTAGTGAGTTCCCGGTGCATCAGGGGAAGGACCAAAAGCCACCGCGCGCAAAAAAGCGTGTAAAAAATGACGACTGGGTACGACTGCGATGTTTTTGAAATAAAGCTATCTGTCTATATATCTATCTACCTATCTATCATACATCTATCTGACATTGCCGTGACGTGACATTGCCGTGACGTGACATTGCCGTGACGTGACATTGCCGTGACGTGACATTGTCGTGACGTAATAGTTCTATGACGTGACGCGAAGATCAAAGTATGGCGTCAATTTCCGTTCCGTGACCGTATTGTGTCGTGTCCCATTTCGGTAATGATAAACTTCCTCCACCCACCTTGCAAGATTTTCCGACATCCTGACGGATTCTCGTATTACTCTTCCTCCTAAAGTAGACCTACTTATTGCTTGGTTTCCATACGGCTTTATTTACCTACATTCTGTTTTTATTTTTATTAGCTGATGGACACAGACCGAGGTCGCAAAGGTGTCGGAGGAAAATTAGAAGTACGAGTAAGAATAAGAGAACCGTTGACTGGTCAGGACGTACAGATGGAGAAGTGGAAATGGCTGGTCATCGATATGCACCTGGGCGGGAAGAAAGTAAGTTAATGATGTACCTTTGTTGTGGTTCATGATTATTCTTTATTTAGGGAATGAAATGGGCGTGAATGAAATGAGCGTGAATGAAATGGGCGTGAATGAAATGGGCGTGAATGAAATGGGCGTGAATGAAATGGGAGTGAATGAAATGGGCGTGAATGGAATGGGCGAGAAGGAAATGGGCGTGAAGGAAATGGGCGTAAAGGAAATGGGCGAGGTCGCCATGTTCGCAGTCTTTGATTGGCTCAGTCTTTACTGGTCATGATTTTTTATCAGACTTACTCCGCCAGAAAAAGTAAAACAAAACTGATGTTTTGATATTTTTCTCAATCTTTTCTTTCTTTGTATCTTTTTATTCAGACTCCAGACTTAGACGTGGTAAGTTCTCCTTGTTCTTCAAGTTTCACCTTGACATTTTGGAGTAATTTGTTCTCTATGGTATTATTTTCAAAATTTTCTGTATTGTCATTCCAATTTACCTGTTCCTGTTGATATGATTTTGATATCAATCCATTTTTATGCACATCCTATGTGAGTCTGCTTGACGCCTGTCTCATTTATGGCTTACACAACTCGTTATTCTATTGTACCTGTTCCTGTTGATATGGTTTTGATATCAATCAAATTTCATGTGCATCCTATATAACTCCGCTTGACGCCTGTCTAATTTATGGCTTTCACGACTCATTAATCGAAAGCTCTAATCAAGATTCTAATTAACGGAAACCGAACACAATTTGTCTGACAAACTGTGGGACGCACAGCAAGAATGGAAACTAAAACGCGCAAAATGGGCCTCGCTGTTGCTAGGTTTCTTCAAATTGCCTCATTATTTGTTATACTCTTGTACAAATTAGGGATCTATCATGGCCAAGACGTCGCCAACTCCTGGACGAGCAGTCACTCAAGGAAGGTAAGCTGTCGTCTTCTTTTGACTTATTGTTGGCATAGCGTAGTTGCGTAATGTTTTCCTCGTTCAAAAGAAAAATAAACGTGGTGTAAAATGAGAAAATATTGAGCTGAAAACTTACATGTAGTCGTAGTTTTTGCTCTTGTCCATGATTAAAACTCGTAAGGTCTAGACGCTAAAATTCAATCTGTGAGTTAGCCGTGCCCTGATTTGAGGTTAGCCCAGAGGTTGTTTCAGGGTTCAATCTGTGAGTCGGGCATGCCCTGACTTATATCAGCCCAGGGGTTGTTTCTGGGTTCTATTTGTGAGTTGGGCATGCTCTGACTTATATCAGCCCAGAGGTTGTTTCAGGGTTCTATCTGTGAGTTGGGCATGCCCTGACTTATATCAGCCCAGAGGTTGTTTCTGGGTTCTATCTGTATGTTGGGCATGCCCTGACTTAGATCAGTCCAGAGGGTGTTTCAGGGTTCAATCTGTGAGTTAGCCATGGGACATTAGTTATTGTTGAAAGGAACCAAAGGATTTCCGTGTTTTCAATACACAATTTTTATATATCAGCTAAGACTAATAGTTACCTTCTACCTGAACCCAATACTCCCTGCCTCTTTACCATACACCCTATTATAGAGGTTTTGCACCACCAATACAGTCGTTTTACATGAGAAATAATGTAATTCCCTAGAGCGAAGGGATTTTATTGTTCTGCCATCTAACCACAGGAAGCCCAAGCAGTATTATGGGATGAACACGTGATGGTGCAAAACCTCTATTTGACCTTTTCAATCCACGCGTGGACCCTTCCTATCCCTGGATCCCCCGAGGTCATAACCTGTAAATCAATAAAACTATACAAAACGGTCAATTTAGCTCCAATAAAGTTTTTATTTCAACCTTYGTAGCAAATTATCCAGTAATAAGGAAACTAAAATCTGCGTACCGTCCAAGCCATGCATCGTGTCTTTTCGTAATCGCCTCTTTGATGGTCATTATGTTTAAATGAAGATATTTTTTCATCACGATTTACAGCCCTTCCGTTCATTAGCCGTCGGGGTTCCTTTATTATTCGCTTTGTAAATCATCATTCGAGTAAAAGATACAAATGAAAAGTGGTCACTAAACGTTTCATCTAACAAATGACTAATTTGTTAAACGTTCTTGGCAAGTATTGTAAAAAGTTCTAGAGCATTTCATCATTTGATGAGTGTGTAATTTTTATTGCTTGGGTTTCCTTTGTCGGTTTTTTTTACCGAGTGGAACTAGACTTAGCAAAAATGTCTGACTGTCAGTATTCTTGAGGCTTTGATTGGTTATCTGTATCACATGATCATGTCCTACACTCACATAGCTATCAACTCTGTACCAGTTGCCTTTTTATTCATTCTGGCCTTCTCTTCTTCTTGCATCTTAGTGCCAGCTCCAAAGTTTGTTCTCTCTCATAACACGTGATCACGTTCAACAAATAGTGCGTGGATGGTTTATCAGAGTTAAACGCCGTTACCCCATCAACCCAACAACTAAGATCAACGTCTCTTCAGTTCTCTTATCGAACAAAATTGAATCGTCAAATCAACGTTGATCAGACGCCACTTTTGGTCAGCGGTCTCTCCAACCAAATATACAAAAATACATGTACATTGATTGATTTAGGACCACAGTGAAATGTATTTATAGTAAATTATTTGTATGTCAATCTACTTTTCTGACGAAAAAACCCTTTAGGAGGATAATAGCGCAGCGCAGCCGTGACGTCATAAATACGAAGACAAAGGCGAACAAACAAACTTACAAGTTTGCTTTCAGCAGATAATTTTCACAGCCGATCGCAGTTGATCTTAGTTTACATGGGTTATTATTGTAACTTTAAGTAAAAATAATAAAATCGGTTCGTATAATCCTCGTAGCGGTCAAACCGAATGCAATTTTTGTCCGAATCTTTAAGCTGTCTTTAGAATCAGTGCGCTGCGCTATTGAGTTACTAGTACAAATTGAGCAACGATCTGTAGCATGTCACGTGATCATTTCACGCCATGCTGGACATGACGTGTCACGGTCCTATCTCTCTGATCCTGTTCTTTGTAAAAGCGGTTAACTGTTTATTTAGAAACTTCTGGTATGAATTATTTAAATCGACGAACTGTTTGTTAAAAACCTGTATATATGTAGTTAAAGTTTTAAATTAAAATTGTGTATGATATCGGGTTGTGAAAGTTTAATTATGTAAATAGATTCAATAAAATAGAAAATATTTTATGTGGATTTGACTTTTTAATCATTTACGCAAACAAGTATGACAAACAAATACAGATGATGATGATGATGATGATGATGATGAAAAAGCAATATGAAAGATAAGATTATTGATATAAAAGCCTTATTCTATACTTACTCTCATCTTCCCGGCGGCCCTCTCCTTTTTTTGGTAATATACGGACGTGTGTACCTGGTTATTGGTATATCACGTGATCACAACCCTACAGGCCCCTACCTCGAATCGATGTTTCCTTAGCCTGAGGCTTGCGCAATAAAATCACGTGATAATTCGACATCGCTCACTATCCTCGTACCTGAGAACCTCATATTAGTTTATTCATACATGGTACGCGTGGTACGATTTTCCCTTCGTCTATGCCAGCATACATTGTCCACCTCAGAACCTTAAAATTGGTCATTCCGACTTTTATATTCTCATGTAATGAGGGCGAGGTTTGTTAGCCACTGGTTACTATGTAGTATTCTCGTGAGGAAACGAGGATGATTTATTCATCTTATTTTGTTTATCAATACAGCATCAATGATCTAGTGAGCGTAGAAGTTCTTAAAATGGAAAAGCAGTTGGCAGAGAGACAGGTGAGCTGATGTTAAGATTCTTCTTAAAAATTTAATCCCAAAGACATAGCAGCCATGTTGGAGTACAGTACCATAAATGCTAATTTAGCCAACAAGGCCGCCATGAGGTCACAGTAAATTCCAAGATTTCCTGAATGGCGGCATGGCGACCATGTTGGAGTACCATACAGTACAATGGAGTCAACATGGCCGGCGATCATCACGTCACATTAAAGCAACGATTCTTCGAGTGGCGGCCATGTTGAAGTATCTTACAAAAAAATTCATCAGCCAACATGGCCRCTATGACGTCACATTCACAACCAGACTCCCTGAGTACCTTATTCTTCTTTCAAAGGCGTCGGCACAAAAGGCGAAGGGACAAACGCCTTCACCAGCGTTACTTCAACGGTACAAACAGTGTAGTCAGAAGATGGAACAGCTACAAACCATGCTTAGCAAAGCTGATAAAAAGATTCTTGAAAGTAAGTTGACCAAGTCACAGTTCTAGGTTTCCTGTGTTAGTGGACTTTGAGGGAGGCTTGGGTGCTGAAAATGATATATTATTGCCCCCGCAGGGTTTCGGTCCAGAGGTGACATCACATTCTTTGGGCTTCCTATGCACTTTACATTGACAATGTTCTCCTGGATTGAGTGTCTTACTAATATGATTTTTTATTACGATCACTGTAGATTATGTACATCAGTTAGTCAGTCAAATAAAAGTGGAACAATCTAACGCCCAGCGTGCATTGCAAGCAGGCAATAAGGTATGAGGAATTTCATCCATCAATCAGAAAGCGCCACAGGTAGCCCAAAGCTCATGTCGCTTTCAATTTCTTTTTTTTTCAGACTGAAGCTCACCTTTGCAACACCCGAAAGAAATTAATGCAAAATGAGGTAATAGATATCGTATTATCGTACTTGAATCTTAAATTTTTCGCCACTACTTACTTTAAAAAAAAAAAAATTCTCAGCAACTCGTAGTTGATGAATGTAAAAGAGAAAATAAATGACCGCCATCTTGTTTGTCTCAAAAAAAACTCGACCAAGATGGCGGCTATGACGTCTATTTAACATAGACAGAAGACATGGGCGCCATGTTGGTTGACATAACAAGTTTAAGCTCAACCAACATGGCGGCTATGATGTCACAAATCCCAAGAATATCCGAGAAAGAATGGGTCTGAGTTTTTGTCCCAAAAGCAGCTTTGCATTGGAAACGAGATCTTGACTGACCACATTCCATTCATGGATTTGCTGGCCAAACGCAGAGAGACAATTGAAGCATCAGGATGCACGATTGATCGCTTTGTGTGACAGGTGCTCAGTGACTCAATGTATGGAGAGAGCCGCGTTCGTTTATGGTCAGCGTACATGCATTTCGCTGAGGATTGTATATTTATCAGTCCCTCAGAGCAAACAAAACCATCTTTTAAATCAATTCCATTTTTTAACATTTTTAGATCATTTCCTTCAAGCCCAAGCTGGGATTAAAGTAAAAAATAACAATTCTGGAATAACAATGATAATATGGCGCCCAAGAGGACGCAGTATCTGCACCATGTTGACTGGTATCACATGCCTAACACTGGCTAACCGTAGTAAATCACGTCTTGAATCTACCACAGACAAATATATTTAACCTGAAGATATTTTTAAACGAAGTATTTCAGCGAGGTTTGCACTTTGTTCACCATATATACACAAATATCTCAATCTCAGGAGAAAATTCAAACAAAGTTGAATTTGACATTTATTCCAAAACTACAGTGCAATATAGATCGCTTTAAAAAAAATTCAAAATATTTTCTAGGTTCTTTAATGAAAAATACGAAAAAAAATAAGTCCATTATAGTTGAGAATCTTGTGATGAAATAATCGGAATTCCTGAAAAATTTCCAGAAAAAAAACACCTTCCCACAAAAGCACACACCTTTAAATTACCCGTCTGAAAAATTCTGGGGGTAAATATTGCGAAAATTAAATTGAATACCTGCCAAAAACTTTCTTAGTTTTTCCTGGACCCTCGTTATGTAGGATGTTTTTTCCTGTTTCTTCAGGTGGTGTAGTGCCTCGTGCTTTATAATTATTTCTGCTTTCTAAGATTTCCTCTTTTTTTTTTTCCTTTACAAGCCATGTTTTCCCGGCTTGATTTGAGAGAGACGTGCCAAGACCATAAGTGAGAGACGGATGTTCACCCGACTTAACGGGGTTTTTCTCTTGCGACCGAGTAAGCTTTCCTTTTATTGGCAATGCCCACAAGCTTTTTCATGATCTCTGATTGTTTTCCATTACGACACGTATATAGGAAATCTCGCTAAGATTGATATTCTTTAGGAATAAGGGAACTCTCAACACATCCGCTATTTTGATAAATACGTTTGGACTTCGACACAATAGAATAAAAATCTCTGTCCTTACACATAAGTCTTCTTTGTTTTGACTGGTACTCTTACAAAGAAGACTTTTAAAAATTAAAATCGAAAATTTCCAACCTTTCTTTGATTGAGACCTTTTCTTAAACTTATAAGTTAGGCAAAATGTTTTGGTGCATTATCCCTCCAAATTTAACTGGCGCGTTTATACCCGTCCACACTATGCCAGATAAATTTGAATCCGCAACTTTCACACTGAAACCGAAAAAAAAAGTTTTCCGTCCACACATGAAAACGGATAAAATGTTTCGCGTCCACACTAGTCCGATCAGAGGTGGCAAAAACGCTTCATTGCACATCTGAGCATGTGCATCGAAGCTGAAATTGAGCCTGCGGTGAATTGTTAGCCTTCCCGCCATGTTCCCATGACAATCATGATGTCATCGTATTCGAAAAGTTCCGGATACGAAGTGTTCTCTAGTGTGGACGGAAGGCCTAACCGGATAAATGAAGTTGCGGATTCAAATTTATCCGGCATAGTGCGGGACGGGAGCGACTTCCCATACTACAGGGAAACCAGTATAGATAATTTCCAAGAACAGTTTGCTTGATATTCAAGTGCTTAGAAATGTTTGTAGTTCGAGGTTGGAAGGGACTGTCAGCTCGTAAGTTGTTAGGTGATTTTTTTTTTCTTTTTTTCCTTCCTTTTTCACGATTTTTTTTATTTTTTTTATTTTTTATTTTTTACAATTTTCATATCGTTTACTGAACTTAAAACTGAAACTGAAACTCGTAAATCTCTTCAACTAAAAGATGACTACAGCGACAACAAGACACTTGATAAAATTTAATTTATAGCAATTTATTATGATTATCTTACACTTTATTAGAGAATATATTTTAGTTTTCCTCTGCTGGCAATGTTTATCAAGTCTGGAAGTTTCTTCATAAACTATTCAAAGTTATAGATATAATGTTTTTTTGTTTTTTTGAATAAGTTTTATTCATCTCGTATATTCAGTTTAACAAGGCTGTAGCACAGTCATATTGTATCGACTATATACATTACAAATTGCCCAATGTAATCCGGTTCAGTTTTCGGAGTTGCTAAGCCAGCTCTTGTATTGGCTCCGGCTGGCCCGGTTAAGGACTTACTGATCCATTGAATAGCGCTATCCACTCTTCGTACAACCGGATCTATTCATTGTAAGGCTTTTTCCTTTTCCGATCCTTTAAGA